ATTTTAGCTACTGTTCTGTTGTTTTTACCTTCTGTTCATCTGATTTTTGGAAGTATTTTTCCTGAGAAGTTTTTACTCTTGGACATTTGTTACGAAGCGTAACCAAAACAACAAGGTGATTTATTACAACCAGGAGCAGCTGATCAACATCTCAAAAGCTCAAACTCCAAATGAGTTGAAAAGGAGGTGCTGTGGATGCAGAGCAGGAGAAATGAAGAGAAACAGAGAAGAAGAAAGTTCAAACCATCTCTCCCATCGATCATGATCTCTTCTGCATCATCTGCTGGGGGAGCAGCACCAGAGCAAGTGACTTTAAAAAGATCAAGAAGCTCATAAAGAAGGCTGGCTCAGTTCTGGGGACTCCTCTAGAACCTCTGGAGATGATTGTACCAAGAAGGATTCTTCATCAAATGAAGAACGTTATAGACAACCTCAGCATCCTCTTCATCAGACTGTCATTCAACAACAGAGTCTTCAGTCAGAGGCTTCTTCAGATCTGCTGCAGGAGATCCTTCCTGCCCACAGCCACCAGCATCTAGAACAACTCTTTCATGGAACCAGGATGATGAGTTACAACATTTAATTTACCTCTGGATTAATAAAGTAGTTTTGAACTGAATTTAATCTTGGCGGGTCGAGGCGGGCCTCTGGTTTCCTCCTCTCTGACTGGTTCTCTAGGTTACACCAACTGCAGCTCCTCCTTTGAATCACACCTGCCAGAGCAGAAGCTCCACCCCATTCTGTTCTGAAACACACCTGCTGGAGCAGAAGGGGGTGGAGCTTACAGGAAAAATACCTGCCTTCAGGCTGCAGCTTTCACCTGCTGTGGATCAGGTTACAGCGAACTGTCGGCTCACATCCAGAACTCAGAAAGAATAAAAACAGGAACCTGTTTTTATTTTTAAGATAGTTAAAAAGGAGACGTTGAAGCTGAGACCTGCAACAGGTGTGACTGCTGTGAGCTCAGATTATATCTCAGATTAAAGAAGATGCAGAATGTTCTGATCTCCATCTGTCAGGAATCGTGTTCAGACACTCTCCAGACTGATTTTAATCGGTCATAACGTCAGAGACAGAAAAATAAAAAAATAAAATGTTTGGGACAACAATAATCTATCCTAATCCTAAATCCGGATGTTGTTTCATTGAATTGAATTATTAGAATGAAATAAAACAGCAGAAGTAAAAACAAAGATAATAAATAAAACCCAGAGAACAGAAGCAGCAGCTGAAACAAACAGCTAATGTTCGTGTAACGGTGCGTTCATGTCACCTGCTCTCTCTGTGGGTGGAAGGCAGCACAGGTGAGGCGTCTGCAGCGCTGCACGAAGCCTCCGGTCACAGAGATGAGCAGAGCCACACCCAGCAGGAACCCTGCGGGACACAACAGTCAGGTCAGGAGACCCAGACACGGCTCTGTGGGTGACATTCAGAGTACTGTAGGTTTGTGTGGATTATAATCTCAGATTATTCTGATGGGAAGATGGAGGTTCTTCACCTAAACAAAGATACGCCGCTTGGTGTGTTTGTTACACACTGCGTAGTTGATGTTGACTCAGCACAGTTATTGCTGACTCAGCACGTAGTTGATGCTGACTCAGCACGTAGCTGATGCCGACTCAGCACGTAGCTAATGCTGACTCAGCACGTAGTTGATGCTGACTCAGCACGTAGTTGATGCCGACTCAGCACGTAGTTGATGCTGACTCAGCACGTAGCTGATGCTGACTCAGCACTTAAATGATGCTGACTCAGCACGTAGCTGATGCCGACTCAGCACGTAGTTGATGCCGACTCAGCACGTAGTTGATGCTGACTCAGCACGTAGTTGATGTTGACTCAGCACGTAGTTAATGCTGACTCAGCACGTAGTTGATGCTGAATCAGCACGTAGTTGATGCTGACTCAGCACGTAGTTAACCCTGACTCAGCACGTAGTTGATGTTGACTCAGCAACAAAACAAAACTGCAGGTTTTATAAGATGCAGCAGTTCAAAGTGTGTTCTTGGCGTCACTCCGGCTCTCTTAAAAAAACTTGATCATTTAACCAACGATCTGAAAAATAAAAAACCATAAAAAATAAATTTATTCTGACTGTAACATCCCTGCTGTCGTTCCTGACACCAGAGGAAGGTTCATCAATAGAACAGATAAATAATGTTAAATTGTTATTTTTATACATTAATGTTTCTGTTCAGTCCCTGAGACGACTTCTGTTGTGACTTGGAGCTACAGAAATAAACTGAACTGAACTTTTGTCAAGTTTTACAGGTTCCTTGGAAAAAACAGTCAGAACTTTATTTAAAGTGAAGTTCTGACTCGGTTCTGACTCGTTCCGACTCGGTTCCGACTCGGTTCTGACTCGGTTCTGACTCGTTCCGACTCGGTCTGCAGGCTGAAGGCTAATCCAGACGAGACACAAAGGCCACCTCCTTTTTAAAACCCAACACCAGCGCTGACAGACCTCACATCTTATTTCACAGAACCTTTGATCTACGCAGAATCTTAAAGTCCTGATGTCAGAACCTCCACCTGACTGAATCAGCTCACTCGTATTGTTGAGTTTTATTAAAAAAGATCTGGTTAAACTAATTCAAAGTTATGAAATGTGATGAAATTATAAACATGAGTCATAAATATGGGATAAACAAGACACACTTAAATAAAAACATATGGAGTAAAAAAACTAAAATAAAAACATCTGAAGTATGACGTAAATATATTTTTATGAAACTGGCAGAAAAAGATGACTGTACTTTAAAAACGGTCTGTAGAAGTTACATTTACCCTTCAAAGTTAAAAATAAATCAACTTTAAACAGTTGATTGGTTCTGTTCTGTTCTACTTGGACCTGTAATGATCGTGTTGGAGCGGTACCGAGGATGAAACAGGTGACGTAGCTGGGCTCCGACGGCTCCATCAGACACTTCCTGCTGATCACCGTGATGTTTCCGCTCTGCAGGATGTTGAACGAGGCCACCAGGTCTCTGAAGATGTCTGAGGCGTAACCGGACCCGTTCACCTGGACCACCAGTGAGACCGGAGCTGGTGGGAGAGACGGTCGCCATGGTTACCGCTCAGACCGATGACACAAGGCTGCGCTTCTTCAAAGGTGATGTCTGACCTCGGGCGAACACGTCCCCCTTCACCTGGTGGTACACCTGATCCAGAATCCAGAACACCAGGAAGTCCAGCGACACCAGCAGGCTGCCAATCACCAGGTGTTTAAAGACGGAGGTCACGCCGACCAGTACAGCCCGGCGCTCTTTGTACGACAGCTGGAACGACACTGGAGGAGAACCAGATCACTTCAGCAGGTTTTAACAACTGGATCTTCTTTTTAATTGAGTTCTGTTCGGTGTTTGGACTGACAAGGAGTGATGTAGGTCTGAGCCTCTCTACGTGTGAGTGGCAGCACTGAAGCTCCGCCCCCTGAGGACACCTGCTGGTCCAGCTCTTTGAACCGAGCGTTGATGTAAATGTTATCAAAGCTGAGGTCACTCAGATACCTGCGCCTGTACCGCACCGCCCTGCGCGCAGAACACAACACCATGCAGGCAGAACCAGAACCCAACATGAACCCCAAATACACAAACACCACGATGTCTGACCTCACAAAAGCCCAGCCCAGCAGAACCAGGCATCCGTACATCAGAGGTTCACTCAGTTTCTGAAACATCTGCAGATCAGAGGAGATCTCAGCCATGATGTCCTGAGAGACCTGCTGCAGGGAGCGGCTGCTGTTAGTGTCCAGGTCCACCTGCACCGACGCCGTCATGTTGAAGTCAAACTCTGCCATCAGCTTCTTAAACGCAGCCACCGTCGCTGCAACAGGGTCAGAGGTCAACTGATCAGCTAGGGTCAGAGGTCAACTGATCAGCCAGCAGCAAGAGAAAGAAGACAACTTAAAATAAAAACTCACGTTCTGCCAGACGTTGTTTCAGATGGTTGGCGATGTAGGAGGGGACGATGCAGAAGAACTCACCGGCTGAAAGAGACACGCAGTAAAACCAACTCAGACACGAATCAGAACCAGATGGGACGTTCAGTAAAATGTAAAAAAACAGAATGCAGGGAGGAGGAAAATTCATAAACATACATTTTATTCACAAAGAAACAGAAAACATCTCAAGTGTTAAAACTAAGAAACTGGACCGATGAAAGGTGCAGCAACCAATTCTCCAACAACTGGTCTCCTCAGGTCCTCCAAAACCTCCAACAACTGG